ACTTTATAGTATAACTTAATTTTACTATGATATTTTCAAGCACAGTACTTTTAGACTCTCTTTTCTCTGATGAGCCATTTGAAGTGCTTTTATATTCTGTCATTCAACCATAATTAATAAAAACTTGAAGATTTATGTGTGTTTTCTTGAATTTTCTCTGCTGATGAAGTGTCTTGACAAGAGATCAGTCCTATGTTGCTGCAAGATTGGCTAAGGTAGGTGCCATTTTAATTTCATTGCAACCACACCCACATCAATGAAAATATTTCATTAGAATGCTACCGCATTAGATCATTGATTTTTAAATAGATATTGTGCACACATGGGGTGTGACCAGAATAGGCGTGACCAGAATAGGCGTGACTGGAGACGTACGTACATACATACATACATACATACGGAGGGAGGGAGGGAGACTTCGCCTGAGTGGGGCGAGCTTATGCTCGCCCCAACGAGCTTATGCTCGCCCCAATTACAAATGGCTGGTACAAGCAGCTCTGATATTAGCGATGAGGATATGGGTAATGTTCATTAACTATTGGCTATACTGAGTATTGAATATGATTTTAGAGCATATACATAGCTTGCTTGAGAGAAGTGGTGACCCTCGGATGTCAGTATGGTATAAGCTGGGAATGAGTCTAGAACTAGACAAGAACGTACTGGACGCCACTGAAAGGGATGGCACAGTATATAGTAGTTCTAAAGAAGTGCTCTCCAAGTGGTTGTCCAACAGTAAAGGAGGAGCTACCTTTGACTCACTGTCAGATGCTCTTAAATCTATGAATGAGAATGCTGCAGCTGACAAGTTAGATCAAGAGAGTAAGTATATCACTGATAGAGCTCTTGCACAGATAATCAATGGGGGGAGTGGCTATGACTGTCCACCATGGTGGAATGGAGAGAATGGATTAAATCGATTGTTGATTACATTCGTGCAAAGCTCTGTCGTATTAATATTGACTATGTGTGTGTTGATTAAGATCAGTTGGTGGAGGAATGTAATTTGTAAAGGGAAATCTAGCTTGCAATTGCTGCCCCTTTGCTACCTAAATGTGACATTGTATGCAATTCATTGATTAAAAATAATGATCAAAAAAGATTAGTGCAAGCATGTTTCCTCATTATCAGACCCAATTTGTTCAGATGTAATCACCACCTGTTTCATACCAGCACTGCATGGTTGTTGGTTGACTTTACAATGGCCATGCAGTAGTGATGTACCGATACCGATACAAATATTGGTATCGGCCTATTTTTATCAAAATCGGTTGATATCGGTATAGTCATAAAAGAGACTGATATTAATAACTATTAATAATTTTAAATAATAATGAACATGCCCATAAAATGGCAGTGTCACATGTTACTGACATTGAAGTTTTGCCTCACAGTGAGGCTCACAGTGCTGAAGCAGCTACGGAAAGGAAGAAAAAGAGTATCATTTGGACTTTTTTCTCTATTTGTGTAACTGACAACACAAAAGCTGTGTGTGGTACTTGTCAGGAGAAAGTGTCTCGTGGAGGAAAGTCTTCTAAGTCATTCAATACAACTAACCTTCGGAAACACTTGGAGTTACATCCCAAGCAGTTCAAGGAATTTTCAGGCATGGAGGAAGAGAAGGTGAAGGAGAAAGGAAAGGGAAAGCGACAAGCTACTGTGGATGGCTTGTTTGAAAGGCAAAGACCTTACTCACTAGATCACCATAAGTCAAAGGCACTCTCCTATCGTATAGCTGAAATGATGGCTGTGGACCTGCAGCCTTTTAGTTTAGTAGAAGATCCAGGTTTTTGTCGACTAATGAAAGAAGCAGATCCACGATATAGCATACCTAGTAGAAGATACTTCTCTGACGTTCTCATTCCTCAAATTCACACTAAAATCACTTCTCTTGTCTCACAGCTACTTAAGTCTACTCAGTATATTAGTGTCACTACTGACATATGGTCTAGTGGCCATTCGCACCATTCATTTATGAGCTTAGTAGCACACTTTATTGTTTCTGAAAGTTTTGAAAAGAAATCGCTTATGCTAAGCTGCTGGAAATTTGATGAGAGTCATACTGCTGAAAACATTTCGTCTAGTATTTTATCTCATTTACAGTCCTGGGACATTGGAGCAAAATTAGTCTGTGTTGTAAGGGACAATGCAGCAAATATGGTTGCTGCCATGAATGTTGCTGGTCTTCCTTCACTAGGATGTCTAGCCCACACACTTCAATTGATTATTAAAGATGGTATATTTCAGCAACCTGCTGTGCAGAATCTTTTAACTTCTGCTAGGTCATTAGTTGGGTTTTATAATCGTTCTAACACAGCATTTCATATGTTTCAACAAGTTCAAGAGCAGCTAGGTCTACCTAAGCACTGTCTTTTTCAAGATATTTCAACACGTTGGAACAGCTCATTTTACATGCTACAACACCTCCTGGAACAGAAAAGAGCAATTACTGTTGCCAGCACAGAATGTGAGTCAACTCCTCCTACAGAATTAAGAGCCCAACAATGGACTTTGGCTGAGAAAGTAGTAAAGATGTTGGTGGTATTTGAAGAGGCAACACGTGAAGCCAGTGGAGATTATGCAAGCTCAGCTATAATTATACCGATTATTAATACTCTTAAAGTAGCACTATCAACAGATGAAGATGACAGTGGAGTTATGAGGATGAAGAGGGGAATGCTTAAGTCATTAGAAGATAGATATAGCAATGTAGAACAGAATCCTTTCTGTGCTATACCAATAGTTCTTGATCCTAAATTCAAGCTACAAGTTTTCTCCTATGATGGAAATGCTGCACATGCTAGGATGCTGGTAACTACTGAGTGTGAACAAGTTTTAACAAGTCTTAAAGTACATGAGGAGAGTCCAGCCAAGCGCCATAGATCTGAAGTGGGAAACCATTCATCTTCCCTTTGGAACATTTTTGATGAAATGATTGATAAGCCAACCACTTCAAATCATGAAAACGGCTATACGGCTGAAGTAATGATAGAGATGTACCTAAAGGAGCCAATTCAGCCACGTCATATTGATCCTCTTGAATATTGGAAGGAAAAGAAACAGGTTTGGAACGGTTTGGCTATTATGGCTTCAAAGTACCTTACCATTCCCCCTTCATCAGCATCATCAGAGCGACTATTCAGTACTGCTGGAGACATTATTTCAGAAGAAAGAAACAGGTTGAGTACAGAAAAAGCAGAAATGTTACTATTTTTGAAGAAGAACTTACCAATTTTTGATTATAAATATTAATGAATAATGACAGTAATAATTGAGGATTGTTGAGGATAGTAAAATAATTGAATTTTGTAATTAAAAAAATTTTCATTTTAAGTATCGGTATCGGCCATGTTAAAGCAATTTGCACAAAATAATCGGCTGGTTAATATTGGTTTTGAAAAATGTGTATCGGTGCATCACTACCATGCAGCAACACTGGATAGAAGCTCATTGTGAGTAAGGAATACAAGAAGTATTTGCTTTTGCAGTCTTTTAAAAGCCAGAGCTTATTCATTTTTGGGCAGCCAAGTTGTATTGTGACATGCATGAGGTTTGCCAATGTCTTTTTAGCCCAATTTCTTTGATAGAATTGAAAAGTGGGACATCATGCAATCACTTCATGAAACTTCTGTCATTTGTAGCACAGTAAAGAGTGATTTGATGAATAATGGCACTATTAATAGCTCTTGGCATGAATTGTTAACTATATGTGAATGCATAATATTTTTTTACTAATTTATTGGTTATAATGGTAATAGCAATTGGGGTGGTGTGTCATAAATTCATGATCACTGATAATAATATTTCACAATGAATGTGATTTTAACTACATTCTTAACAATAGGACCTGCTCCTCCTACTGGTACAAACAAGCCATCGATAGGTATGTTAGTGTTTCAATATTAATTAGATACATGTACATGCAAATCTATGTATGATTTTTGCAACTGTAGTTAGTATAGTAACTATGTGTAATTGATTTTAGGTACTGTAGAAAATTGGTTAAAAGAAGGTAGTGTTGAGCTAACTGTTACTCGTGTTAACTTGCATGGACCTCCTGGAGCTGGTAAAACCTGTGCACAAGATCTTCTGCTTGGTAACCCACCTACCACCCGCACCACTGACAGTACACCAATCGCTCGTCCAGCTGTCAAAGCTACAAGAGTATCCGTTGACAATGAAGCTATGAAATGGGAGAAAGTTGATAGAGATGGTTTACTTCAAAGACTGGCTTCTGATTTTAAAAAAGCCGCTGCTTCTCAGCCTGATGATATTTCTGACAATGCTGGTCCAGAATTTACTGCCAAAACACCTGTTTCAAATGAAAGTTTCTCAACTGGTGACAGTGTGATTGAGGAAATTACGGACACAATCCAACACTCAGAAGTTCAATTAAATTTAAGTGATCATTGGTTGTACATTATTGATTCTGGAGGTCAGCCAGCATATCAGGAGCTGTTACCATTGTTTGTTAGAACAGCTTCTCTCAATATCATTACTCTTGACCTCTCCCAACCTCTTGATAAAAAGCTTGATTTCCAATACAGGATTGGAGAGGAGACATTTTCTTGTGGTTTAAACTTTAAGTATTCAAATCGAGATTTCTTTTTATTGGCCGTTTCTTCTGGAGCCATTTTAAAACCAATTGATGTCCCTTATGTCCTTGAAACACCTTCACATCCAATGAATTTGTACTTGGTACACATTATGATCTCATAAATGATGATGAGCTTAAGCAGATGAATAAAGAGTTGATGTTTTCATTGAAGCCTGATGTAGAAAACTATGTTGTTCCCAATGTACGTGAAGAATCTATTATATTTCCTGTAAATACACTGGTCCCTGAAGATAAAGGAAGAATGAAAGCAGGACAGGATTTATGTCAATCAATAGCAAATTGTGGTGGAATTTCTCTTAAAATAAATGTACCAATTCGTTGGTTTGCGTTTGAGCTTTGTCTGCAAAAAGTAGCAGAAGACAAAAGCCACAGTTTTCTTACAATAGATGAAGCCATATCTGCTGGTGCCAGGTTTAAAATGAGTGAGGATGATACTAAGGATGCCTTAAAGTACCGTATGGAAGGAAATTTTGGAGGTAGTTAAATTTGGCGAATTTGGCGTTTTGATAGCCATTCGCCAAAATAAAAATTCGCCATTTTGAGCCATTATACGCATGCTCAATGGCACGTGGCCACAAATTCGCCAAATTAAAATTCGCCAATCACCAAAATTTAGCAATTCGCCAAAATTTAGTCCCTCCAAAATTTCCTTCTGTACGGTATCTCCACAATGTCACTATTATCCTGTATTAGTAACGCGGTAGCGTTACTAAGTAGGATTCACCCCCAAACAAAATGGCTGCCACGACTTTTGCAGCCTTGCTATACCGGGAAAACGAGCTCTTATGCTTACCAGACTTCTTAGAGGACCTTATCTTGACAAGAGGACTCCAATGGTACCCATAGCGTGGCTCTAGACCTTTTCTGGGAGAAAAATAAAAAATCTGCAAACCGGCCGTTTTGTTCAGCCACCTTTTTTCATCTTCATCATCAGGAAAGTCCTGTCAATCCAGTTGTCGGTCGATATATCGATCTTGCCTGGTGATAGAAGGCTAATTCTTACACCATTCTACTCCAACAGGGTATGCGCAGGTCCTTGTTTCCTGGAATCATTCTCCAAGAAAGGAAAAAGTGATACTGTGACTGTTGGATCGCACCAGCTTACCTCATGCCGCCATTTTGTTAATTAAATAAAGAAGCATGTGCTCCAAAAATTTGGGCGTGGTCGCGCATGCTCAGATGGATAGATCTCAAAACTGGGAACAGCAAGTAATCTTTTACGTAGCTAGCTATGCTTGGAATCAAATTGCAATACTTAGTGGAGGTTTCCAGCTAAGAGAAGGTATTAATCTTGCATATATCAAGTGTGTAATGAATTATTTTATTTCAAAAACACAAAACAATTAATATTTATAATACTAGTGATAATATATTAATATGAACTTGACAACAGGAAGAACCTGCAGGAATAGCTACAGGATTACTGGGAAGATAGAGCTTCTTGAACAATGATTCACATCAAGACTATAGTATTTATTTCACTTGTCATCAGATTAGTAGATATTGCTCCACCATATCTATTCAATTCAATCAGTGCTGTCCCTCATAAATGCTGTAAAATCATAACAATGACAACAATAATAAAGAAACTTATTGTTTGTGTAAAATCAAAAAGTATCACAATTGTAACTGAAAAAATATAAATATTATAAAAAAATTAACACAAACAAGAACATAAAAAATTTAAAAAAACAAGATTGAGTAGGATTCCGAATGACCAACGAAAATACGAAATGAAATCCTACTCTCGTGACGCAAATTCT